ACAAGAATTGCTGGAGAATAGTTAAAAATAGCACAAGACAGAAAATAAGTTTAAAGGGTGTACATTTAAAGAACCTTCGCAGAGCAAGAATTCAATGATTATTATCCATTGATATACTATAATGTAAAAGGTAGGCTTATTGGGTTTTAGTTATTATGGCAAATCATAAGATGTTTTTATAAATTATAATTTGATATTAATTATTAAATTAATTCGATTTAAAGTGGATTAACTATTGTATGGGTGGGTGAACTTTTCATTTTCAATACTAATTGATATATAATGTCACATATAATGTCACAAAATCACACATTCGAAAAACAAATTATCAATATTTTTTAATTAAAAAATTTTGAAAACTAAATTGATTCAAGAAAAGAAATATAGGATCCATTTTTGCGGAAAATCTCATTCTTCGAAAATTGTTCCATTACGTATGACGTTAAATTATTACCTCTTAAACAGGTTTTAACAATTTTTTCATCTTCAAATCAACGTTGTATTACGGATGCGAGATGCATAAGAAGAATACTGAGAATATGGTGACCGGAAATCAAAAGAAGAAAATGAAAGTGAATTCCTGCATAACGAAGCAAGCCCTACTCGGGGTAGCTACAAGGTAGTCGCCAGCCTAGAGCCCGTGCTAGGACATAGCGAAGAAACGTGGACCAGGAGCTTAAATACGCACAGTACTCCTAAAACCAACTTACGAGAGAAGCAAGCAAGAGAGTGAGGTTTAGAGGAATCGTTGAGGCCCTATGCACGACTAGCAAAGAAGGACAGCAGTAAGTAAGTTAGTTGTCTATCATGTGTACAAGACAATTAAAGACGTTATTTAACCAATAGCGTGGGTAACTAAATATTGATTTTTCCTTCATGCATTATGTATCAGATATCCTTCACGCTTATAAATTTGTTGCTTTAAATCCGTACGGTAGAGGTATTGACATTATCAAAACAAATAAATAGTTTAATAATAGGTGAGCTGTACGGATTTAAAACAGTGATTGAATTACGAATGGTTTTAAAAAAAATTCAGAATCTCTAGCACTAATTTAACAACACCTTCAGCATATAGGTCGCCCATAAACCTAACGATTTATATTAATGCAGTTTTTAACTTTAGATAATAAATTTATTTAATAAAAATTAAATAATTGCTTAGGTCGAAAAATTTTAGTTCAAAGTGAATGTTAAAAGAAAACGATATAAATAAACAAAACTAAAAATAAGTATCTGTACTAGATAAAAAAAAAATTAAGACTGTATTATGCTAAGAAATAATATTAAAATGCTATAGTTAGAAAAATGCTTTACTTAAAATGCTATAGTTGGAATATTTTCAATATTCCCCAAGGAGCTTGCGGATTAAAAAAATATAGTTAAATATTATTGAAATTATTCATGTTACAAGGTTTTATATTAAAAAATTCCAATTATTTTCAACTCATGCTGAATGTTAATAAATTAGATATTTAGAGTCCCAATGAGAATTACAAAATTTGTTGTAAAACTTAAATAAAATAACTTAACTAAAAGGGAATAATAAATGAAATTTTCTTAACTAAATAGCAGAAGAAATTCAAGTTGTTTAAGACAAACACAGTATAAATAATATTCTGCAGATTTAAGTATTGTTTTAAGAATAAAAATCTGTAATTGCCAAAGGGTTTCTGATATTATTCATCTACGTTTTCATTTCCATAGTAAGAAGAAAAAGCAGTTACTAATAACTTATAGGGAACTAGAAAGGAGCTGCGCATGCAAAAAAAAAAAAAATTGCTCCTTCCTTTATTAAATAATATTTTCTTAACGGAATCACAATACATGCACTACAAATTGTATTTAAAACTTATTCCCATTGTATTAACATAACAAAACATTTTCAATCCTGGAACAGAGAAGAAACAAACTTTCCGCAAACTTTAATTAAAATGCTCAATTGTAGGAATCAAAAGTTTTAACGAAATCAAATCCTGTAAGAAAGGTAAACTTGCATCCACTGCAAGCACTCATTGTCAAGTAGTGTTCTCGATACTTCGACGTTGGTAGCTACGCGCTGAGTTGTGAAAATACAATGGGAATTGATTTATTGAGATACAATGAGAAGTGTCAGTTGACGTCAATGTTTGCGAAAAAGTTGCAACAGATTCGTAAATTAATATATATAAAATTAATTTAAAAAAATATATATATATGTTGATCCTTTTTTCGAGTCAGCGCAACTGTGCACTTTTACCCTTTGATAGTTGGGGGTACTACAGGGTCCCACCCATCTCATTGACTAATTTATGTATTGCCTATAAACTTCATGATTATTCAGTGATTGATCTAAGATATGCGTACCTCCCCGTGCGGAGAGTGATTACTCTAAGATTAGATATTGGTAAGTAGGATAGCCTGTCAATTTTCGCATATAACTTCAGGGTTCTGTCCCTTATGTGTATTTTGATCGGGTCTATTGTAATGTCTCTTAGCATGTCGTTTGTGCTAAAAATATTATATTAAAAATATTAACTCTTTAATATTGAACAAATAAAGTTGTTAACATGTAAACATAAACAAATATAACTGAGATTGAAATTTTTTAAAATTTTTCTGTGAATATACTGCTTATATAATGAGAATAGTTGTAAAATATGTAAACGTCTTTTAAAAAACTCACACTACTGGATCCTAATGAGGTTATTTTAACTAACTTGACAGAACAATTGATGACAATAGTCCGGCCATAACTTGACGGATGTTCGTTTTCTGATTGTAGAAAGTGTTATATATGCATATAAAGGATCCTTTTTTTAAGCAAACAAAAAAAAACCCAAGTCACAAGTCACATAATCTTATTAGTCAATTTAAATCATTGAAACATACAATTACGTATCCAGAAAACTTTCCCCGTAACAAAGCCGATAGATGACTTATTGTGTGTTTTCTGGCTTATAGTGAAGTTCCGTTGAAATTACAAAATTTCTCAACATATCTTCAATTTCAGACCAAAAAACACTAGCGATCTGTTGGGGTACACCTTCATTATTTTCAAGAAAGTACATATTCGGAAGAAGTGCCACATCATATAATAAATTTTTGTCGATGCAATGGTCTATGGCTGACATGGATCCAACAATTTTATTTGTGGACACATTTACCATTCCATCCATTGATCATCATTCCTTGAAATTGTTATTATTTTTGTAATAAATTTTCGCCAAATCAGTATATTATTAAACGATCAATATTGCAATATGATAAGCCATTAACCATATATATGGTACCTTGATTAATAGTTTTGTTTGTCAGTGACATACTGATACAGTGCCTCTGTATTAGTACCACAAAATGTATAATCCTTTATTTCTTCATGTAATTTATATATTTTCCATTTATGAAGAAAAAAAGGTTTCAGGATTGTCAAAATGTTATTAATAACTTTTATAGCACAAAGGCCATTAGAATTTGAACCAATTAACTTTAGACTCCTGTATATGAAATTACAAGGGCATTGCATAAGGGCTTGTATATGTTTTCCTCTTATTTTGGAAATGACATTATTCTGATTTAAGGAGAACACATGTCAATATTCAAAAATTTCCCGCGGCACTTTTGAAACACTTGAAAACTTCTCACAAAAGCTGCATTTAAAAATTAACAAAAAGTTATATTGCGTGCTTCTTATGGTAAAATAACACATATTATGTCCAAATAAAATTAAGTACAATAATTTGCTACAATATCAGATGGTATCTTCGACTTCTGAAAAGGTATGAAGTTACATTAACACAAATAGACACTTTATTTTAATTGAAGTAATAAAAACCGATTATTATTCTTTATTGAACTTGGTCATGTGATACATAATTGATTGAAATCTTACACAACAAATATCCGCTATATTTAAGCAGAAATCCGCAAGAGTTATTGAGTTATTGAAGAGTTATTTAATATATTTTTTATGCCCCAAAGCATAGTCAATCAAACGAAATGAAAAGTATTGTGAAAACTTATGGTGATGATCCTATAGTGGAAAAAAGCAGTATTTGCGATAGAAGTAGCTCGGAAAGTTAAGGCTCGTATTCCACTATAACCTAATATCAATACAATACCACTACTATCCACTAAATATTCAATTCAATTTGTGCAGATAAAGTTTGGCTTTTGGAAGATTATAACCTTACAAAAAAATTAGGTAAAATTTCTGTAAACATTATACCATTTTTGATTCCAAATTCTCAATTAAAGAGATTTATTCCTGAAAGATTGTATGCCTGAAATTTATTTTTAAAAATTTCGACAAAGAAATTTTAGAATTTCTTTTTTTGTGATTTATTGTTTGGATCACAAAATATTACGATGCTGGGTTTTACAGCGATCTGTAAGTCAGAGTATTTAAAGTTGGTATATGTCCTTTCGTATATCTAATAACATTTACTATTTAAAGCGTTCATTTTACACTTATATATCCTATAACTAAAAATAAGGAAATAGGCTTTGACAAAAATGTGGAAACATTCACTTGGAAAACAATTGTCGCATAATATAATTTCTTGGCAACTATCCACACCTTATCACTCC